GCGTAACCTCACAGGTCCCCTCGTGTTCCTCACGCCTAACCTCACAGGTCCCCTTCTGTTCCTCACGTGTAACCTGACAGGTTCCCTCATGTTCCTCACATGTAACCTTATAGATTCTGGGGGTTAGGATGGGACATCTTTGGAGGGCCATTATTCTGTCTTCCACATCAGCTAATTTGTAACCCATGGAGCTCTAGCTCCTGCTCTTGGTTCCACATCTGGGAGAAGGAATTGTAAAAGGAGAGTTGAAGTCTGCCTTCGTTGGGAGAAACTGTAACCCCCCCTCGCCCCCCATGATTTGTCTGCCTTACTGAGACTCCTAATCTGGAAATAGAACTGGAAGATGAAATCCTGGATCCTGAAACCTGAAATCGAGAGGAACCCCACATCCTCTCTGTATCCTAGATGTGAACCCCCAAAACCAAAAAGAGGTCTCATTGACCTCTGCCAGGGGCTAATGGGCTATGCATGGCTGAAGGGCCCTGCCAACTTGTTTGGTTCGGCCAGCTGGGTGCTTCTAGGAAAATGGACTCAAGGGCCTTCAGCAGGTGTGTGTCCCAGTCCTCCTCAGCCTCCTCGATTCCCCTTTGCTCCGGCCCTGCCGGGGCGCACATTCACCTGAGCTGCCTGCTCCCTGCGGGCATTTGAGTCTGCCGTCTCTGAACCGTGCAAGACCACTCTGAACTAGTCCCCAGGTCTACATGGATAGTTTTCCTTTCAGAGGCAACATGGACAATCCCAAGCTTAATTATCCTTTTTTAACTTTAATGTTTGGAAATTTGGGGGAAGACAGAAATGCACTCAGCAAGCCTCCAGCAGCTTCTCTTTGGTCAAGGAAGCGTACGAAAGCTGTTGCTTGTAGGCTGGGCCCAGTTTCGGCCGTCGTCTCTGGGTACCTCCCTGCAGACTCAGGTGGAGGTGGCAGGTTCCAGAGAGGGAGAGCATCAGACATCCTGTGATGCCACTCCTTGGTTTTGGGGGTGCTACCTTGGGTTCCCCAAAGCTATGGGGACCCCAGAGTTTTGTTGATAACGCTGGTCAAGACAAATCCACCTGGAAGGCCCCTAGCACTCGCCTTGACTTGAGAGACTTGCTTCTGTGCTCCCAGAGTCCTTCGGAATATTGCAACAGGCCGTGCTTGGTTGAGCAAGTGGACTTATCCAAAACTGCCACTGTGCCGTGCTGCATTCACCTTCAGAAGGATCCACATTCCTCTGAGACTGGAGAGCAAAACGCCTAAGACTTAAAAAAGAAAAAGGCTGGGTAATAACCTCTGGCTTAGATTTTTCTTCCCTCTCTAAACTTGTGCGGGTCCTTTAATTTAGCTGGCCCAACGGATTTGGGCAGGGGCTCCAGGCAAATAACAGAGTGGATTCACTTGACTTGCTGGGTTGACAGGTGCTCTGCAGGCTCTGATCAGTGCAGACAGAATGTGCCTTCCCGTCTTCCTTTAACTCTGCATGGCCTTCTTGCATTTATTTCCAGGTTATCAATGTCACTGGTGTCTCGGTGGGATTTGGCTTATCTTCTGCTTGCGACACCCTTATCTCCCAGGTAAATGGAAGCCCGAGGTCAGTCTCACGGTGACCCTGGACATCTTCTCATGAGTGTAGCTGGTAGAACCCCAGCGGCACAAAGAGAGAGTCGTGCGCACAGAGGGAGGAGATCCTGGGCAGCACTTTGTCAGCCATCAGCCGGTCCTCCGTGCCTGCTTTCTTTGAAAAATGTGGCTGGGTGTCTCTCAGGCTTGTGAAGTAGTATTGATCTGCACGACTGCCTTACATTACATTTTGACCACTAGGGGACATTTTGTGAAAGTCCCTTTTATCACTTTCCTCGTTGTTGAGTTTGGTATAGTCCTGTGGTTCTCAAACTTCACTGTGCACCAGGGGCATCTGGGGGGGCTTGATAAAACACAGGTTGCTGGGCCCGCCCAGTGGTGTGCTGGCAGATGTTGAAGAACCGGGTCTCGAGTGGGGGAGGGAAACGTTCTGACGATGCTGTTTGCAATTCCAGTGTGTCAGTAACTCCCTCGCTGGCCAACTTCAGGCCACTATCTGTGACAGATGTCACTGACACAGAGCTGGGGAGAGACATGCACAGTCTGGCTTCTGTGAGCCCACAGGAGCTGCTTCTGCATGTCACCGGCCTCCTCCCAGGGTTCTGCTTTAGTAGGTCTGGGGTGGCACCCAAGATACTGATTTCTAACAGGTTTCCAGGAGATGCAACCCTGACTGTCCATTAGAATCACACGGGGAGCTTTTAAAAATTATTGCTACCTGGGTCCTGCCCTGGACCAGTTAAATCTGACTATCTTTAGTGAGACCCTGGCATCAGTGTTTTAAAAATGTTTCCCAGGTGATTCTAATGGGCAGCCAAGTTGGAGAGCCACTAATACCCAAAGAGTGGGGCAAAGTCTCTAGGGCCATCTGTCTCTTTATGAGGCATGATTGAAGGCCTTTGGGGGGACAATGGGGCTGCCATTTCTGTGCTAATGGGTTCATTTTGGCTGTGTGCACCCAGACATATGGGAGCCGGAACTTGAAGCACGTGGGGGTCATCCTGCAGAGGGGCATGCTGGTGCTGCTTCTCTGCTGCTTCCCCTGCTGGGCGCTCTTCCTCAACACCCAGCAGATCCTGCTGCTCTTCAGGCAGGACCCGGATGTGTCCAGGTAAGATGGGCCATGCCATGGCAGGATTGGGGTCCATCCAGGCAGAAGGATGGTCCAATCCAAGGTCAGCCTCTGGGAATTATGAAGGCAAGGATCAAGGCCACACACTAGCTGGCTTCTACCAGGCCTTAGTGCTTTCCACACCTGGCACCTAAGATCTAGACCCCTCATCGTCTGGCTGACTTCTAGGGTCAATAGTTTTGAGTGAAATAAGATCTGCAAACATCCTCCATGTAGGATGGTAGTTTGTGGTGTTTTGTGTGTGTGTGTGTGGTTTTGTGATTCTTGACCCTGCTTGATATTAAAATTACCTGGGTGCTTTTAAAACCCACCCATACCTGGTCCCCCTCCCCTCCCAGCATTCTGTTTCAATTTATCCAGGGTGCAGCCTGGGTATCCATGTCTTTCGAACCTCTAATGAGCTGCCAAGTTTGAGACCCACTGGTTTAGTTGATAAAGACCTTTAAAAGTCCTTGTTCAGGCCAGTGGCTCTGACCCCAGGGGATGTTTGGCAATGTCAGGAGACATTTCTGGTTGTCAGATCTGGTATTGGGTGTTGCTACTGGTAGAAGCCAAGGATGCTTTAAAACAGCCTACAATGCACAGGACAGCTCCTTGTAGCAGAGAATTATCTGGCTGTAGTGCCAAGGTGGAAAAACCCTGTCCTAGACCTAAAGACTTGGAGGAACCAAGAGAGGTAATTTGGGTTTAAGATGACAAGTTCTGTGTGTAAATTCTCACATTTGCTCCAGCATCCTAGGCCCACTGATTCAGAAAGAGCCAGAATACAATAGGCATCTCAGTTGGTGTGTTCTGCTTGCCTTTCCCTTGACGTGGAGACCTCCATCACCTTTTTCTTCCCTTTCATTCTATAGGCTTACCCAGACCTATGTCATGATCTTCATTCCGGCTCTACCTGTAAGTTTTCAAGGGCCAAGAGGCTCCCTTCCTGAGGTAAAAAGAAGCTGAGATAGCCCTGAGCTCAATGAATCAGCTCAATCTTATCCGATGCTCACATGTGGTGTTGGGCCTTCAAGGAAGTGCAGTTTTAATTATGCCCGTGAGAGTCACGAACATTTGTCCCTCGAGGAACACCAGGGTCAAGGCGACTCCAGTAGGCAACTGTCCTGAACTCCTAGAGCTGGAGGGACCTCGAGATCATCCGGGGAGGGGAATTCTGACCTTTTTTTGAAGAGGGGTAAATTCTTCCCCATCTCAGAACCCTGAAGGCCTCACTCTGAACTTTCAGACCTTTTTTGCTTGCTGAGTATGATCACACGGAACCCTGTGTGTGTTAATGTTTGACACAGTCGTGTGTGGTCAGCGGACAATCAGAGCTCGTTTACTGCGTTGGATAGTGTAGCTGTGTGCGTCTGCTCAGGCTGCCACAACGAAACACCACAGACTGGGTGGCTTAAACGACAGAGATTTATGTTCTCACAGTTCTAGAAGCTGGCAAGTCTGAGATCAAGGTGTCACAGAGTTGGGTTCCTCTGAGGCCTCTCTCCTGGGCTTGTAGATGGCCTTCTTCTTGCTGCCTCTTCACGTGGTACCCTCCCCTGTGCGAGTGCACCCCTGGTGTCTCTTGTCTTCTTCTAAGGACACCAGTCCCATTGGATTAGGGCCACACCCTAATGGCTCCATTTTAACTTAGTCACCTCTTTAAAGACCTCTCCAGTCACATTTGGGGGTCAAGGCTGCAACATATAAATTTTAGGGGACACAGTTCAGCCCTTAACAATAGCCGTCTACAGAAATAGAAGTATAATGATGTATACCTGAAATTTATACAGTGTTATAAACCCATGTTACTGCAATAAACAAAAAATTATAAAAAAACAGCAGCAAAAGCAATAGCCATCTGCCCTCATACTTGGCATTGTGATCTTAATTTATCCTGCAACCTTTTAAATTTAATATTTTTTAGTTATTCCACCAAATAGAGTTATAGCCTTGTCTACAAGGGAGGTGCCCCCTAGAGTTTGCCCAGGGGCCTGCCTTTCAGCCCAGAAGACTCCTTGCCGTGCTCCCAAGGAAACTGTACTTCCAGACCCCGAGGTCGCTTGGATCATGTTCGTCCGTAAAAGAGATGATTGGAACACCTCGGCCCTAGACACCTGGCTCCCACCACCTGTCCCCTGAGGGTGGCACGCCTCTGGGCTCACACAGGAGCACGGGGCAGCCAAGCCGATGCTCCCAACTCATGGCTGATGGCAAGGCCAAAACATTAATGCTCACCTCTCTTGTTCTCTTCTAGGCAACCTTTCTTTATGCATTACAAGTTAAATATTTGCTCAACCAGGTAAAGCAGACTCTCTTTTTTTGGGGGGGGTGCTAATGGGAGTTCACAGCTTTCTGGGATTGGAGCCCCTAAAAATACTCCGGGAGACCAGGGTGGAGGAGCTCGCCTGCTGGGAGCCCTGAAATGCACCTCCCCGTGTTGTGCACGCAGGACTTAGTGTGGAGAGATTTGTTAAGTGATATCAAGGAAAGGACAGATTGTTCTTGGCTCTGGAAAATTCTTATTCGATTTCTCTTGGAAATATTACCCTTGGCAGGATAGGGTTAGAGCCATAGCGTTCTTTGGCTCTGTGCCGTCACCCGGCGCCCAGGAAGTCAGGGTGCATCCTGTCTGCTCCCCAGAGAGGGGAAGCAGAAGAAGGAAGAAGTTTTCCACCTATTTAATGTTCTTAAAATTAAGAACCGTCAGCTCTGGGGAGCCAACCGCTGTGCTCAGGTCTGTCTTCCTCAGTGAGGATGTGAAAGCCCAAATTGTAACAATCCCTCACGTCCCTCAGAACTCTTCATACGTGACTAACAGCAATGGCCAGAGGCCCAGGATGGCTGCCCTGGTTCAGTGGGTATGGATTCATGATGCAAGTGTATGTGGGACCATCGACTTCCTTCCAGATCAATCCAGGTGAATGAGAGTACCAGGCCACCGGTCATGGCCACACAGGCAGGCTCTCCAGGGCATATGTGATAGAGGGGGCAAGGGGTGGAGAGAAGGGAAGAAGTTTTTCACCTATTTAATGTTCTTAAAGTTAAGAAATTATTAACAAAACAATATTTCAAATCTTTATTGGTATCAGAATTATATACTTGAAATGTCTGTAAAGAGGCAGAAATCAGCATGTCTGAGCTCTGGGCTGCCCCCTCACAGTCTGTAACCTCGTTTGAAGCCTTAGCACGCTGCGGGGCCTTCTCCCCATGAGTATCCCAACAAGTGTGGGGGCTCCTAACCGCGGGTTGTCTCTTAATCTACCGAGAAGACTGGATGTGAAAACCCTCTATCTAATACCCTGAGGCAGAAGGAAAGACCTAGAAGTAGGAGCCCTGAGCTCAGAGGGGTCGGGAAATGTGAACTGGGTTATGGAGGACACAGAGGGTTCCCAAGGCTGGAAGGAGGATTTTTAACTGTCAGGAGAAGAGATGAGAGTGATGGACATGATCCAAACAAAAATGATGGAGGTCTATGACAAAGAAAGAATTGCCCTGTGGGAGCAACGGGAGACCTGACGATAGGGCGGATCTGGTAGAATGAAATGACCTGTTGGCTCTCGGGACCACAGGAGAGGAAGGAGTTGCATTTAACCCAGTTTCCATCTTGGGGGCCTAGCCCATTTGTGAGTGTGGGACAAAAGAGAAGGAGCTGGTTTGGGGAGAAAGTTCATACACTTGAAGAGGGTACAGGGTTGAAGAGAACCAGATGAAACCCGGGCGAATGCTTAGACTTTTAGGGGGAGAGTGAGAGGACTTTGCAAAAGAAGGTGACCCCGTTGGCCTCTTCTTCCCTTACTCTGAGGGGAGCAGTCTCCTTGCGTGTTCTTGGTTTCCATCTGTATGCCCACGTCTCCCACACTGGTATCTCTAACCTCCACACGTTCTTTCCTGCTGCCTGTAGGGCCCATGCGTGTTTCACACTTGACCTCCTCGTCTTCCCCCACAAGCCCGCTCCTCCGCTTTCCTTCATTTTTTTTCAATTAGTGGCCTCGAACATTTTCTCTCCCGGTAACCTGTCCTTCATACATCCTATCATCTGTGACTCCGTCTTTTCCTTCACTTCCACATCTGATCAGTCACTGGGTCCTGTACATCCCCCTGCTCCTCTCCATCCTCCGTGCCACTGCCTTAACTCGTCTCTCGTGCTTTCTCTTCTGAACCACTTCAGTGGGGTCTTACTTGCTGCCAGGGTTTCCCTGGGTCAAGCCCACACCACACTACTTCTTTTACCTTCTACCTGAAATGCAAATCTGATCACCTGACTCCCTCGCTAAAAGCTAACCAGGGTCTCCTATAAATAGGTGACCCACATAAGTGGCTAGCTGAGATCCTTGTCCTGGCCCCTGAGCTCAAAACCACCACGACCACTGGAGACACACTGCAGTTCGGCAGAGTCGGGTCTATCGACCTGCAGCATTGAGAGATCAGAGGCGCTGTGGGTTCTCGCCAGACAGGGGCAGCATTACCCTGAGATTTGGAAGGATGGAGGTCAGGGGAAATCTAACTGAAGCCGTGTCTGGTAGGCTTGGAGCAAAGCAAGCTGTGAGGAAAGGGATCAACGCCGGGTCTGTGCTGCAGAGTGGACCCAAGGCCTCTCTCCTTGGGAACTGCAAAGCTTAGAGAGAGGTGGAAGATGGATAGATGTAGATTGCTGTGTCCAGACGTTCATGGGAAGCTCTGCCCCTGGGTTGGAAATCGAGGCTGCTTTTTTTGTGAAAGTGAAGTTAATCCCCCAGGCAAGAGTGAGATGCTTTATTTTTATGGATGTGATTTCAAACTGCAAAATTTCACCCAGTCTGTGATTTTAGAGCACCAGGTTTCTCAGAGAGTAAGAAAGCAATAGTCATTCAAAGAAGGGGTGAGGCGACCTTTACCCTGGTTAAGAGGGGAAGTGGTGTTTCCTGTTAACTGCACAGCTGGCTTTGTCCGTGTCAGTTATCCTTTCCTGAAGCATGGCAGGGCAGATTTTTACTTCCTTAGTCCCATGTCATTTTACTGTCACGCCTCAGGTCTTAATTTGAGATGCCAAATAGACTAGACTTTTCTGCCCCAGAGCCAGATATGATGGAGTCCATTCCACACTCCAGTTTCATAAGCTCTCCTTAGGCCAATTTTCTGAACTTCCATTTTGGTCGAGAAAGTGTTGTACCTTCACCCACTGTCCAGTGTGGAAGGTGACTTGTTTATCCTTTTTAATCCCTGCTGGTCCTTGCACTCTTATAGATGAGCCATTTCTCTTCTTCCCTCTCTGCTGCCTTCTCACCTCCTGCCCGTGACTCTCTGTGGCCAGAACTATGCACTTCATGCCTCAGAGAGAGGAGGAGGAAGGTGGGGTGTGGGAAGGCAGGAGCAGCAAGGACAGGGCATCCACAGTCAGGTCCTTCTGCTACACCTGTGACAGCCTGCCACGCAGCCACTTAGAGCCTCCTGCGTGTTTGAGTTCCGTGGATCTCCAGCACAGTGTGTGGTCTCTCCTTGTTGCAGGGCATCGTCCTGCCCCAGATCGTCACTGGAGTTGCAGCCAACCTTGTCAATGCCCTCACCAACTATCTGTTTCTTCATCAGTTGCATCTTGGGGTGATGTAAGTCCAACTGATTCTTGGGACGGGGGAAGGAATGACCTGCATGTGGCTTTTCCAGGCAGTGGGGAGAGTAGGACTTTGACCTGGTCATTGTGTCCCCATGTGGTCTCCTCCTTGGGCTACTCTGGAAAACACTGTCGGGGCTGGAGAGTAATGCTGCTCTGGAAAGAAGATGATCTCGGGGCTGGCGCAGTCATCTCGGCAAGGGATGGGTGCTCACCTTGGCACCGAGCGAGGCGGAGAGAGGATGGAGGACAGGCACCTCCCCTCACTGGGACCGTTCTTCCCAGGGGCTCAGCACTGGCAAACATGATTTCCCAGTTCACCTTGGCTCTGCTCCTCTTTCTCTACATCCTCGGGAGGAAACTGCATCAAGCTACCTGGGGAGGTAAAGACTGCCTTTTGTCTTCCAACTTGGATGTGGGTTTTGTCTCGGGTTGAGCTCCAGCCCCAAGGCAAGATGTGTTGGAAGTGTGTCTGTGTCCCACCTGCAGGATGGTCCCTTGAGTGTCTGCAGGACTGGGGCTCCTTTTTCCGCCTGGCCATCCCCAGCATGCTCATGCTCTGCATTGAGTGGTGGGCCTACGAGATCGGGAGCTTCCTCAGCGGTCAGTGTGGGGACAGAGGGTGACGACTGGTGGAGATGCAGGGGCCCTGTCTGGAAGCACAGCGTCAGCTGTCTCTCTCCACCAGGTATCCTGGGCATGGTGGAGTTGGGAGCCCAGTCCGTCGTGTATGAACTGGCCATGATCGTGTACATGGTGAGTGTCTGAGAGCTGGTGTGGAGGTGCTAGGTGTTTCCCTTGAAAGAGTCCTAAGAATGAGCGTAGGTCTTCATACCACGAAGTGATAGTTTATGAAGTGATTCACGAAAGTAAAATTCCATCCTAGAGCCAGGGAGGGTCCTTTTGGTGTGGTAAGCTCTTCCCTGTGAGGGAAGGGAGTTGAAGGGGGTTGGTGAGAAACTCCAGATGACTTGTTCATTGTGGTTCTCCGTCTCCTAACACAGTTCATATCTGAAAGATGGGATTTGATTGCCATGCTTGCCAAACATGAAGACTCTTTTTCAGTTGTCACAACACAAAGGCCTTGGGGCAGGTGGGGGCATAAAGGGTGATGGTGCTGGCTGTAGGGCAGTAAGGGCCATGCTCCTGCCGAGCTCTGCTCCTGCCTGGGTCTGATGCTCTTAAAACTCAGTGGGACCACTCCTGCATCAGACCCAAAAGAATCTAAAGCAGGGTCTCGAGCAGGTATTTGTCTACTTATGTTCACAGCAGCATTACTCACAATTGCCAAAAGGTGGAAGCAACCCAAGTCTCCACTGAGGGAAGAATAGATATACAAAATGTGGTCTATCCATACAATGGACTATTATTCAGCTGTGAAAAGGAAGGATATTTTGATATGCTAGAGAAGAACCCCAGTCATTAGAGGCTTTCCTTTGACTTGTTTTACTGAAAACATCAACTAGAAATTTTGAAGGGCTTTCTTCTCTAGCAAGTGTCACTTTAGACGTAGATTGAAAGATGGGGACAGAAAGGGAGCGTGTACTATGGAAAAGGACTAAAGCCAGAACATGTGCTTTGGTTATTTGTACTGCGAACACTTAGATTCCGCCCCCGCAAGATTGGTTATATTTAAAAAGTACATGGAAAACATTTCCTGTTCTCTTTAAGAATCATTTTCTGAGGACTTATGGTTTTTGTTTTCGCTTTTTTCTATCCTCAGCAGAATTTTTTAGCTGAAATTTGTCACTTCAACACTTTTTAAATTTTATATATATTTTGTATTTAAGTAAGTTCAGTAACTACATCTAAATCAAGTGGTTAATGGTACATAGTATTCCACCATATGTAGTGTAATTTTTAAACCAATCTCCTGCTGTTGAATATTTAGTTTATTTCCAATGTTTCAATGTTATTAACAACACTGCAATGAACATCTTAGGACAAATATCTTTGTATGAGCTAAATTTCTAAAAGTGAAACTTATTTACAGTTTTGTCTTTTGCATATATTGCCATATGCTTTCCAACAGTCTTATAAGAATTTACATTTATATTTTTCCCTAATCAAAAGAAGGATTTATACCCTTTACTTGTATTCACTAATTATTTACATTTTGCTCCATTTGTTGACTCACTCTATCCATCTATCTATCTATCTATCTATCTATCCATCCATCCATCCATCCATCCATCCATCCATCCATCCATCTATCCATATATCTATCTATCTACTTATCTGTCTGTCTGTCTATCTAATCTCCACAGCCCATATTGGAATACCACTCATTGTTTTGATGATGTCCTTCGTAACTATTTTTCTCCCAAGTTAAGGTGTCATGCCTCTTTAGTGTCCTTTAATCAGAACAGATCCTCAGCCTTTGTCTTTCTCGACTTTGACATTTTTGAAGAATAGAGACTACTCTATATACAGACTTTCCCTCAATTTGTTGTAGATGGTACTTCCTCATGAACAGATTCTGATCTGCACTTTTGGTGGGAATACTACAGAAGTGATGCTATGTCCTTCTTGTGCATGGTATCAGGAGGCACATGATGTGGATTTGTCCCATTATTGGTGATATTAACTGATTGCTTGGTTAAGATGCTGTCTGCCAGTTTCTCCACCATCAAGTTACTCTCTTTCCCTTTATAATTTATAACTAATTTCTGGGGAGATCTATATGTTTTCTCCTACTAGTGAGTTTCTGGTCAGGGACTGTCTTCCAGTTCTTTTATGTTCCTCAGTCTGTGTGTCAGACCTTCTTTGGTCCTGTTCTTAGTCATCCTGATCATAAGGCAAAATTCATGTTTAAACAAGTGTTAAATCTTTTTTTCTTTATTAATGCTAATTTCTCAAGTGGTAAATTTTTAGATAATAGAAATGGCTGATCTTTATTGAACAATTACTACATGTGAGGCACTCTTCTAAGCAGTTAGCATGTTTGTAATCATTAAATCCCTACAATAACCCTACAAGGTAGGTTCTGTTACAAGATCCCTTTTATAGATAAAACAGCTGAGGTCTAGAGAGGGTAAGTGACGTGCTCAGGGTCACACAGCTGATGGTGGCTGAGCCAGGACTTGGACGCAGGCAGTCTGGCTTCAGCATTCCCATTCTTAACCACACACTGTGCTGCTTCTCTGTCTCCTTTGGCACCACCCTCCCCTCACAAAAAGGGTAGCATTGCTGTCAGCATTGTATGTGTCTTTCTGTTTTCTTAAGTTCTTTTTATCCAACATTTTTTGGGGAAAAAAAGTCACTATTTTATGTCTTCTAACCTTGATACCTGGATGGGCTTTCAGCATAGACCTAGCTTGGCTCCTGGCAGCCCATCCTCCACACCCGGGGGGACTGTGACTGTGCATCCCTCCCATTGCACAGGTTGGAAGCTCTGCAGAAAAGCCCAGTGTGATGTGGGTACAGCCTGGGGTTCCAGGTTCCACGGTAGCCTGCAGACTCCAGGGGATGCTGCAAATTAGTCTTCTCAGAACTCTTAGGACCACGTGTTACCAATGAGGTGTGAAGCACAGTCTACAGGTCCCTCTTCCCTGGGGAAGGCGCGTGGTTAGCTCAGAACTGAGCTGAGAGGCCAGGCTGCTCTCACTCTCCTAGTGTCATTATTGTGAGTTTCCTTTTCATTTCAGATACCTACAGGCTTCAGTGTGGCTGCCAGCGTCCGGGTAGGGAACGCACTGGGTGCCAGAAATATCGAGCAGGCCAAGAGGTCCTCAGCTGTCGCCCTGCTGATCACAGGTGCTTAGACCCTTAGTCAGTGACTTGCACATGCAGTCTGTGCCCGTGAGTCCCCTGCAGACCTCCTTTTTCACCTTGCCGTTTCTTCTGCCGTTTTACTTCCAGAAGTCTTTGCTGTCACCTTTTGTGTCCTGCTGTTAAGCTGTAAGGATCTTGTGGGGTACATTTTCACTACTGACCGGTGAGTGCTGAGATTTTCTTGAAATGTGGAATCTGTGGTCAAGAAATGGTTGGGTAAATGCTTTCACACTGGGATTGTTGCATCTTGGAGGTGCCTGAGTCATCTGCAAGATCAGAACTCGCTGGTGTTACCTGGGAAGAACTGATTAGAGACAGAAACTAATTTGTGATCTAGAATGCTGAGTTAGTGGGCATTGGTGGTGATCCATTCTTCCGGTGCTCACGATGCTCATGTATTTTAAAGAAGGAAACTCCTTTTTGGTACCATTGATTACATTTTCAGTTAATTATTTCACTCCCGATGACAACCATCTTGGTATCTCAGGATCTGCCCAAGTGACTGGTTTGTACTGGTCGCCTAATATATTTGTTAATCCAAATTGAAGTTAAAATCTCACTAATGAGCTGTCTCAAAAAAGCACATTATCGGCTTGATTACTGAAGAAGAATTCTTGTACAGGTTGGTTTGGTTGCTTTTGTCAATGAGGCTCGCTGGTCATCTGACCATGTAGATGCGTTGTGTGGATACCTCTTATATGGGATTCTTTTATCAGCAATTACAAAACGCAAATTGACGTTTCCTTCATGGATTCAAAAAGTGAGTGGAGTGGACAGAACTTGCACGGTCTAGTCTTCAGGTATTTGCCTTTTGATTTTGATATTGTTGTCTTTCAGCCTCAGCCACTTTGCTGGGGGGAGATAAGCAGTTTGAATGTCACTCACTTCAGACTGAGTGAGAGGGCAGCCAGAAATCATTCTCATTTTCTTCAAAGGGAATCAGAATTCACTTTATCAGAGGTACATGCTGCACTGATGGCTTCAGTAGGAATGTGGTGGGAGTTTGATTCTGAATCTGTCCACTTCTAGAAACCACACAGCACAGGAACAAGAAAGAAGAACAAAAGGCCCACAAACTAACTATATCTCTGATGAAATTAGGAGACATAGAAAACTCACAAAATCAAATTATTTGTAAGCTGGCCAGGATCAACCGAAACTGGCAGAATCAATGACATAGATTCTAATGATGACATAGATACCTAACCTAATGAGAGAGGAAAAAAGGAGAGAGCACCTCTATACAAACTAAGAAAGGGGAAAATTACTAAAAACAATTTTTTTAAAGTGTAAGAGACTAGTTTGCACAACTTTTGTAAGTAGATTAAAAAATCTGGAAGGATAATAAATAATTTTCTAGGACAATAATTTATCAAAACTTACATTAGAAAACATAGAAGTCTAAATAGACCGATTTCCTTAGAAGAAATAAGAAAAAATTATTTTAAAATTTCAAAAAGCACCAATCCCAGAGGGTTCCAAAGGAGAATTTTATAAAACCTTTAAAGTATAGATAATTCCATTGCTGTTTTAACTGTTCCAGGGCACAGGAAAACTCCCTCATTCTGTTTACGAAGCAAATATAATGTTGGTACCAAGATCTGACAAAGTTTGCACATAAAAAAGAAAGAAAGCCACAGACCAATCTCACTTATTAATATCCAAAATAAAATATTGTAGACAGAATTCAGCAGCACATTAAAAATAATACATTTCGATGGAATATAAAAGTGAATATAATATATTAAGTGGAAAAATCAAGGTGTATAACATCATATAGAGAATATTATAACATGAACTAATAGAGTCTAGAAGGGGAAAATAATAATATATATATGTATTTCCTTATGTTTTCATAAGCACTGGACAAATACAGACAGTCCTAAGAATTGTTACCTTATTGGGGGGGTGGTAATGGGAGGACTGGGAAAGGAGTGGAAGGAAGATTTTCTCCATATCCTTATCATATTGTTTGATTTCTTTTAACCATTTGCATATGTTACCTATTCAAAAAATAAAATAAAATTTGAATAAAAGCACTGTACTTCTGTCCTCTTTTTGGAGGGGGGAGGGAGTGACCATCCTGTTCTGTGCTGGATTTCTTATTTATTTATTCATTCAACAAATATTTATTGCCAGACAATGTTCTAGGTTTATTTGTTAATCACTCAAGGGTATTATGAATTTCTTGCCTCCCCACGTCAGTGGCCGCATTCAAGTTTAGTCATTAAAATCCGAGTCTCTAGCTTTAGAGATTAGGGCCTATTTCTAGGAACCAAGAATAATTCTGTAAACTGTATCTATGACTTTTATAACTTGCCAACCTTGGTTCCATAGAGGGAACCGTAGCTCTTATCTGTTGTGCTTCGTTCAGACACACGGACAGACACACGTGGAATCACGTTAAAAGAAGAATTGCACTGTAATCCAGATTTTATTTTGGGGGAGGCAGAGAGGAGTACAGAATCATTTGATTTACCCGTCTACATTGGTCAAGTGGACTATATATTTTTTCTAAAAGTCGTGAGTTACAGCGTACAGTTGGTTTCCTCTACAGGTTGTCCCTGGACAGGATGTTGGCTGGAATGCCTGAGCCTCACAGTTACACACAGAAGCGGAGCCATCACTGGGAACTGCCAAGTTCCACGCTTTCCACACGTTTGTCTCCTAATCACCATGTGCTTTATTTTCCTAACAGAGAAATCGTTGCTTTAGTGGCTCAGGTGGTTCCAATTTATGCTGTTTCCCATCTCTTCGAAGGTCTTGCTGTAAGTATTTTGCAGTGTTCCCTTAAGCGCTTTTATGATCTATGTGTTTCCTCTGATGATGGTAAATTTAAACGGAGAGGAGGGGCTCGGGGAAGTAGAATACTTCTATCATATTCACTTTACAAGAATACTGTCACATGAGCATGGATTTTAAGTGAGAGTCTCACACAATGGGAAGTGCTCGGGGATGGGAGTCTTTCAGAAGCATCAGCAATGTTCACACTGACGGGTGTTATCTGCCTACAGTGTACAAGTGGTGGCATTCTGAGGGGAAGTGGCAATCAGAAGGTTGGAGCCATCGTTAATGCTGTTGGGTATTATGTGGTTGGTCTCCCTATCGGGATTTCGCTGATGTTTGCAACCAGACTTGGAGTGATCGGTAAGCTTTACCTGTGGGCGGGCAGAGCGGAGTTATCGCGGTCCCAAGAAATGACTGTCAGAACATGCGGACTTTTTTGAGACTTGGCTCTGGAACTGTGGAGCTGTCCCACATTCATTCTGTACCCTGTCCAAGGTAGCAGGGTGGGGAAAGGAGGTAGCCAGGGGCCCAAGGCTGCATGATTGTACCCCTCTTGCCCAGGTGGGCCATCTTCCTCACTGTTGAGCAGAGCAAGATGCCCTTTCTACTCATCTCCCCATCCTGTGTTGTCAAGTTCTCACCTCTTCAAAGTTGGTGACAGCAGGGACTGCTGAAGAAGCATTCAGAAATGTACCTTTTGTGGCCTGAGGTCTGTCCTTTGGTGACAGCCCTGCTATGGGGAGACCTGAGAGTGAGTCCGCAGGACTGACTGAAGCCATCATAACTGGCTCCACTGAAGTGTTTGGGTTAAGGCAGGGAAGCCACGGTCAGCCTTGATGTGATTCTTACGGAATGTGTGGTAGCCTCCGTGGTGGCTGTATACATCCCAGAGCAACACCCGCTGTGTCTTAGCCCACTCAGCTGGCAGGATTCACGGAGGGCAATGCACAGGGACTGACCCCAGAGCTGTGCTCTTGATGTTGCCTTCATCACCATTCTACAGCCTCCACCTCCCGCCTGGTACAACCTTTTAAGCCATGTGTCTTGTGCGTCTCCCCACAAGGGCATGGGTGTGATGTGTGTGAACAGCACACAGGAAGGCAGGGGTGGAGGGGACCTCTTGATCACCTCACTACATTTGGATCCACAGGATCTTAAATTACCAGAGCTAATCTTTAAAAAAGTAGGGAAACAAATGACTGCCCAGCTTAGATTTCTAAAAAAATAAATTGGAATACATTGGCAGTTAAGAAATGATTATATTAAAACTCGAACACATTGTCTTTGGGTGACTTAAGCATGGTTCATTTTTATCCGTCAGTACTTGGCGGGCTCAGAGGCAAAGAGAATTCACCTGATACCTAGAGTGGACTTCCAGTTCAAGGTGTCCCATTGTGTTGCATATTTTTCTCAAGTTCAATAATATTTTAATGAAAAATACAGGAGATGTTCAAAAGAATGGAGTTGCCAATGCAAAGTTCACTGGGCTTACATCATGGTGTAGAAAATTATTTAGCTGTGTTTCTGGCATTATTCATATTTTGGATTTGCCAGTGGCATAGCTAAGGGAAATATTGGAGGAATCCACTTAAAAATACAGATCCATCTATGTCCCAAGTGCTGTACAAGGCCCACTCATTTATTTAAGCAAAGCATACCTACTATGTGCAAAGTAGAAGGAGTTAAGAATCACTTAAAAGAAATGTTGGAGTACAAACTTCCAGTTATAAAATAACAAAGTCCTGGGGATATAATGTGCAATGTAATGAATATAGTTAATAATACTATATTGTATATTTGAAAGTTACTAAGAGAGTAGATCTTAAAAGTTCTCATCATAAGAAAAAAAAATTTGTAACTATGTGTAGTGATGGATGTTAACTAGACTTAGTGTGGTGATCATTTCACAATGTATACAAATATCAAGTCATTATGTTGTACACTTGAAACTAATATAATATTATATGTCAGTTATATCTCAATAAAAAAATGTTGGGGACTCTGGGGAGGTGAGGGCTCTGTGAGAAGACTGCAGTCAATCCCTGCCACCTACCTCTTAGAAAAAAGCATAGTACTAACTGGATTTGAATGTTGTGTCACCTCTGGTAGGGGATGCAGTATACCTATACAAGGTGTCCAGAGGAGTGTCAGAATGCTACAGGTTCTCATGGGCGACTTCAGCAGATCATAATAGCCATCATCAGTCCTTGGCAGGCTTTTCAAATGCACAAGTTGCTGGGCCCAGCCCAGGGGATTCTGATAATCATCCTGTTTTAGGGTTTCTAGGTTGAGTCAAATAGAAATCTTTTAAAGGGTCTATAGTGAAATTCCTGGAAATCTGATTCATAACTTTCAAATTACAGCTGGAGATAGCTAGTTATATTCTGTTTAAGATGGTTAGGGTGAGCTCGTAGTTTCTATGGGTTGGGAACACTGGATTGAAAGAGGAAGCCTATGTAAATATACATATTTGCTTTTACTAGTCCATTATTTTAGGAATGGCAGGTAGTTACCAACTCTACTATTCTAAATATCAGGCTGATCACATCTGAAAAATGTGATATGAGGGTGATTGGTACCAAGGAGCAGAGTTGTAAATTGTACACCGAATCTGGCCACCTCAACCCAAGCCCATGAGCCCAGTGTAGCCACCTTACCCTTGCCCAGATCTAGACTGCTGCAGAAATAAATAAAGACTAACCAAATGGGAAACGCCAAGGCTCTTTATTCTGAGCTTGCTCTAGTGAGGGAGTCAGCCACCATTACTTACGTTTTGGCAGAGACTCAAAGGTGGGTGGAGGAGTGGGAATGATTTACAGAGGAACAAAGGGAAGGCTCACGTGTGCCCTGACGGAGGCTGTTGGTCTGGGGAAGCTGGAGATGGGCTGACTAGAAGCAGGGCATCCTGTGTGATTGGTCAGGGGCGCATGATTTGCTTTCTGTGGTTGGTCCTAAGTTGGAAGCAGGCCCCAAAATTAGGGAAGCTGTAAGTTATTAATCAAGGCCTGGCCATTTGGGGCCGATTATGGCAGAAGTTATTATTTAGCTTCCTGGATTGTCTGTAGAGATAGCAGTCTGGCTTCCTGAAAGTCTGACTTACAGCAGCTGGCTTCATGGGTTGTTTATTGTGAATAAGGGGTTGGTTTCCTGGGCAGGTTGTAGATCAACGTTCTTTTTTTATATGTGGTCTGGCCATTGTCCACTTGTATGTTTAGTCTCTCAGTCTCTCCTTCTGGTCATTCTCTCACTTGAAAGAGGTTGACCAATTCAGGGAAAACTAGAGACTTCACCATTTGGAGATCGTCCAGTCGTCTTCATAGTCAACTGTACTGCAAGATCTTCTTGGGCTTCTTGTTGCTGTATCATCATGGCAATCATCTGATGAGACAGTGGCTGCACAGAAGCATTTAAGACTCTGGATAAAATGCAATGAACCAGCACCATGACCACTGCTCGGGTCCCTTCCAACAAAGTTCAAGAGCAGTTCTTCTCTGATGTCTCTTCCAATAGATGAAATCTCTTGGTTGAAGATCATGAAGAGGCTGTTTAGGAAGATGTGGAAAGGTGGCCTTAACCTGTTGGTGGTGGGACCCTTGCAATATTTTGCCATGTCTGCATGCAGCAGGGCAGAGTCTAGAATTGGAGGTGAAATCCCTTGATACAATGGGCCTTCCAGTTACTGATTCATAGGGGGATAACCAATGTGTCCCCAAGGGAGTGGACCATAAGACTACAAAGACTAGAGAGCTCAAAGGTTTCTGAAAGTTTTGCTAATTTTAATGTAAGGATAACACTGGTCCTTTCAACTTTTCCAGAAGATTGTGGGTGGTAAGGACAGTGTAGTTTTTGAATAAGGGGTAACACTTTACAGAGTTCTTTCATATGGTTCCCTTAAAGTGTGTGCCTCAGGCACTTGATATAAAAGTTGAGGTGCCCCAGGTTGGAAACACAAAATCAAGCAACTTTACAGTGACTGTAACGGCTGCAGCTTTTCAGCAAGGAAATGCTTCAATCCATCCTGAAAACAGACATATGATAACTAAACTGTATGTAAATCCCATGGAGGGTGGAAACTGGACAAAACCCATCTGAAGGTATTCAAAGGGCCCTGGAAGCTTGGTTCCTGGCTATGTCCTACCTTCACAGTTTTTCCAGGATTATGTTGTTAACAGGTGACACATGATCCAAAAACTAACCTCAGCTATTTTTTTGAGGTTTCCCCACCAATGTTGATTTAAGATACTAAGCAACCTGTCTATTCCATGATGAGTAGTTTCATGGAGAAATTTAGCTAATATTAATTTGAAATCATCTCATGCTACCAAGTGGCCATCTTGATAGTGCCAGAGATTACCTGAGTGAAGGGTACAGCCAGATTTTTTCCATTCTTCCTTTTCAAAACCAGGGACTAAATGTTGATATTTTATAATGGCTTCTTTGAATCCCTCCAGAGATTTATTCTTTGTGAGTTTAGATAGGATCATAAACTAGTTAAAGAGGCTTGTTTGGCATAATGATCTGCTAGAGCATTTCCTTTAACTTCCATATTATCTTTTTTTACATGGGCCTCAACCTTTATAATAGCCAGCTCTCTAGGATGTAGGTGCGGATCTAAGAGTTCCTTAACTTGCTGTCCATTTTTGATGGGATTCCAGCAGAAGTGAGAAACCTTCTTTGTTTCCAAAGCATCCCAAAGTCATGTACTCCTCCAAGAGCATGTCTGCTCTCTGTATAGATGTATACTCCCCGGTCTTTGCCTGGTTGACATGCTCTAGGAAGCACAATAAGTTCTGCCAGGGGGGCTGATTTTACCTCAGATGGAGGACTGTATTCTAAAGCTTACACTCGAGATAGCATCTCTTGTTTGATAGCCTCCAGTTTCAGTGTTGAGATGTGATCCAGCAACAAATAATATTAGGTCAGAGTTCTCAAGAGGAGTCTCTAATTTACCTGAAGTGAGGTACAGAGAGTTCCCTAACCGAGAGCAATCACCAGGCTCCCCTTCCTTTGGGAGGAGCAAGAGAGCAGCAGGATTCCAGGTGTTGCAGTGGTGAATGGTAATGGAAGAGGAAGATACCAACAGAATCTCATAAGAGGTTAGTCGCTGGCTGAAGAGTGCTATGTATTGTCAGTAGCAATGTCTATGCTTCATGAGGAACCGTGAGGTCTATCGGGGAGCAGCTCGGCAGAAGCATCAACAGATTTTGCAGCATAGCAGCTATTGTCTGAAGGCAAGAGGGATCAGCCTTTGCAATGGGGTCAAGGGTAAGGCTATGGTACACAATGGGTTTTTGATGGTTCCCATAAAGTTGAGTTAAAATCCCAAGGGCTTGTCCAGATTGCTTATGCATGAACAGACAAAATGGCCTTCTGTAGTTAGGGATGCCTAGAAAGGGAGGCTGTTGAAGAGCTTTCTTCACGTTCCAGAAGGCCTGTTCCTATTTGGGTGCCCTGAGCAGACAGTCTCTCACTGAGGACTTAGTCACTTCATAAAGAGGTGTTGCAATCTCAGGAAACTTTGGCCCCACTGTCTGCAATATCCAGCTAAACCTAGACATCCTCCCAACTGTTGTTTTGTGAGAAGTCTAGGATCATTTCAGGTAGCTGTTGGCTATCAGGAGAGAGTGTTTTCCCTCGTTAGATAGGTCATGCACTAAACGAACTGTGTTCTGGCAAAATTGGAATATATCTTTTGAAACTATGTCCCTTTTCTGCTAAGGCTGAGAGCAAGAAAACGGAATTCTTTTTATAGGCTTCCTCATTCTCTGAACAAAGTGGGAGCTCATCTGCATAGTGTATCCGAACTGAATCACAGGGAAATGTAGATCTTTTACGTCTTGATGGAGGAAGTGAGACAAATGGGAGGGAGCCCCAGTGAAGCCCTGGGATGACTGGGCAGGTATCCTGCTGTCCTCCCCTGGTGGATCCTAAAAAGGTAGAGCCTAGATCAACGACAGTGGAGCAAGTGTCTTCAGGAGGAATTGACGGCAGGATGGTAGTTAGGTGCTACTGGGGACCAAGGGATAACAGTTTTGTTGATGGCCCTGAGGTCTTGAACAAATTGATATCCTCATCCATTTGGTTTCTTTACTAGCAGGACAGTAGTGTTACAAGGGCTAGTTCAGCGTATGAGAAGAACTCTGGATATGTCTTTCAACTATAGGTTTGATCCCTTCATTGCTTCTGCCTTCAAGGGATGCTGGGGAAGTTTAGGTAACCTTTGGTAGGAGCTATCTGAACTTTTATGGGTCCTACTCCAATTATTTGGTGATGTCAGCAGAATATTTAGCCCATGGAGTGTCAAGATCTTTGTCTGGGGTCTGCATCAAATAGAATGGAAGAGGCAAGGCATATCTAGAGCTTGACTATGAATAGCAGAGCCCCCTGGGACCTCGAGAAATAGTCCCTGTGTGTGCACTGAATATCATAATTCCATTTGCACAGTAAAGCTCTGTCTATTAAATTTGCAGGGGTAGTATCACAGAGCAGGAAGGAATGTTTTTTAGTCAAGGGGCCACGGGTTATAGTTAAGGACTGGGAGATTGGGAGAACCTGTGGGTTATTTGGAATACCTACCACCTGTGTGGTGTGTTTACTCTGAGGAAGAGATTGAGCAAAGGTGGTGGGGTTTAATGTAGAAAGAGGGGCACCGTATCCCCCAGAAATTGAGGAAGGTGACCATCTACATTTGTAGTTACTTCACCCTGAGTGTTTAAGGGTGTGGCAGGATGTTGGGTGCTTCTTCCTTCCTCAGAGCACCCTCATTGATCTGAGTTGAGAGATTTTTCTTTGTCTTGGTTTTTCTTTCGTAGTGTCCCTTCTGTTGACAATATCTACAAGCGTCCTTGTCCGTAACTGGTTGGTTGGGGAGTGGGCCACCCAGCTGTTCCATTTGCAGGGCCCCGCGTTTACTTTGGGTCTTGCCTCATTTTTGTTTTAAAGCCCTTTCAAAATGTTCTGCCAGGTGTTGGAGTTCAGCCAAAAGGGCTATTTCCCATCCTAATTTCTGCTTTCAAATTAGGTCTCCGATTTCTTTTTCTCGTTGATGAGATGCAAGGGCTGCTGTTCCATCAGCACCTTCTTTAACTCCGGAATGTTGTGGGAAGGTATTTTCTGTTCTATCTTGAAAATCTCCTATTGTTTCATCTTTTTATTTGTTTGTTGGCATGATTTTTGTTTGAATTATGGCCCAATCAATTTTTTTTGGAAAGGTTTCAGGTATGGATTTTAAGAGACTTTGACTTACTTTTTTGGCCTTTTTATTGGACCCTCGAGTTTGCCATGGAGAGAGGGTCCCTTTCCAGTCAGTCCAATCAGCTTCTGCCATCCAGGTCTGGGGTTCTAACCAACATGTATACAAGCTGATAAAGGTCAGGTAACTCTGGGTTACATGCACCCAAAAGAATTCTAAATTCTTCCATGAATATTTGTTGATCTTATTTGGGTTTAGGGAACTCTTTATAGCTCTTAATTCAGTTCAGGTCTGAGGTTTAAATTCTACAGTTGCCTGCATACCTGGCTTACGGGAGGGATGGATCCTTAGAGGCAACTGGCATTTTGGGGTTTTGGGGAGAGATGTGGGGTACAGGTAGAGAATTTGGACAAGGGGAAGAGAAGGGAGATGCGGAAGGAGTGAGATCAGAAGGACGAGACGGAAAGGGGAGCTGGATATATGGAGGCAACTGGAGGACAAGGAGGGCAGAATTTCTAGAGAAATGAGTCTAGTTTGTTCTTGCTTAATTTTTCAAATTGCTCATTAACTTTGGCCAAAGAATCTTTTTTTTGGAGGCAATTTTTTATTCAGAATTTCATTTGGAGTCCTCTGCATACCAATCAAAAAATGCTGCCCATTGGGCTTGTGAAAGTTTATTCACTTTCTTTCTTAAGGCACCTCTCAAATGAACAATTTTGTTTAAATCAAATGTTTCCCAGAGTGGCCACTGAAGGCCGAAATCATCCTTGGTGAAGTTAAGCCATTTAGAAAGATACGCACAGGAATTCGGATTGTGAAGAGAGTACCTATAAGAAGCAGGAGTTTTTGCAGGCAGAGGAGAGGATGTAGGCCTGGGCGACCATGAGAGGTGGTAACAGTCAGTAGGAATCCAATGCTTGGGCCCCAAACCTGACAGTTGGCCACCTCCAAATGCAGACCTGCCAATCTGCACCCCCTGGCAGGCAGAAAACCAGAGGGAATGCTCTCTGGATCAAAGCTGAGCTCTCAGGACATAAAATTGAGAAAGAAGGAGAACTCCATCTGGTTTTAGTGATAACCCATGGCAGTTTGTCCAAATGGATGCCAGTCAGGTGAGAACCACAAATTCATGGGTCTGTGAGATCAGCTCCCACAACAGGTTTCTAGGGCCTATGTCTGTATTCTGCCCTCTAATTCTCCCTCTTATGACAAACAACACTTTTACACAGCACAACACAAAACAAAACAAAAGGGATGAAAAGGAATGGCCTGATTCCACCAAGGTTATGCCAAACAAATAGGAACTAATGACGAAACCCAGGTACCAAACCAAAGAAGAAAGAGCTGAGGAACTTAGTGCAAAGAGATTGGGATGCAGACCTGATCCTGACTTACCATGTCGTCATGGACCAGACAGGCCACAAACAGGAAAGCACAAGGGGCCTCTGTGGGTACCACACCTGGTCGAAGGCTAGGGTGTTCGGTGACAGGTAGTGCAGACCAGGTCTCACAGAGCCTCCATGGTTAACTATAGAAATAAGTGGAGATCAACCAGATGAGAAAAGCAAAGGCCATTTATTCTGAGCTTGCTCTAGGGAGGGAGTCAGTCAACTATCACTTGAGTTTTGGCAGAGACACAAAGCCGGCTGGAGGAGCAGGAAGGATTTACAGAGGAACAAAGGGAAGGCTCAGGTGTGCCCTGACGAGGCTGTTGGCCTGGGGCAGCTAGAGGCGGCTGACTAGAAGTGAGGCGTCCTGTGCGATTGGTCTGGGGCGCACGTCTGGTGTTCTCTGGGTGATCCTAAGTTGGAAGCAGGGACAAAAATTAGGGAAGCTGTCAGTTATTGATCAAGGCCTGGCCATTTGGGGTCAGTTATTTCAGAAGTTATTATTTAGCTTCCTGGATTGTCCCTAGAGATAGCAATCTGGCCTTCTGCAAGTCTGACGAATGGAGGCTGCCTTCCTTGTTGGTTTATAGTAGATAAATGGTTAGTTTTCTAGGCGGGTTGCTTTAGGTTGTGGGTCAAAGTTCTATATGTGGTCTGGCCACTGTCCATTGGTATATTCAATCTTTCATGGCTATTAGAATTTCTGGTTCTGCCATTAGTTCACTGTTGACAAAAAAAAAAAAAAAAACCCTCATCACTTTGGGTCTCCCAGTGTGTCCCATGTGGGTTCATTAAGCAGAGTTTACATGGTACTCGGAGATCTACAAGGCTTTTCCCAACCACTGTTCCCACTCAGCCTCTCCTGTTGTGTAACCATCTCTTTGCGGATAACCCTGCCCTGGGAGCTCCTGAAGTCTGTGCCAGAGCAAGTAAGGTCCTGCAAGAAGCTCTGAGGGAGGGAGCATTAGTACTTTAGATGGTGGGTGATTTCTGCATTTTTAAAACGTTAGTCACCTTTTTTGAAGAAAATAAGGCATAGTAGTTTGGAAGTACTATTAGAAATAAGAAGTAGTTTGCCCTGGAAATTTTATTTCCTTATAACTGGCACTTTTCTTAATAGCCAAGCATCATGATCGCAAAGGCCAAAAACAACCATGAATGGTTGTTCTGAGCTCCAGAACCCCCGGGAGGTGGCCTCAGGGAGCACTGGGCCTCCCAGAACCTTCTGGTAACCAAAAGAGAGAGCAGGATAGAACTCTCTGGCCCACCGTAGGCCCCACCTCAGCCATGAAAGCAGATTCTCAGAAGTGAGATATGAGAAACATACTTCCCAGGGGCGGCTGGTTTTCCACTGAATTAACCTCTATTAAATATTTCCACTTTTAGGTCTGTGGTCAGGGATCATCATCTGTGCGGTCTCTCAAGCTGTGTGTTTTCTAGCCTTTATTGCTCGGCTAAATTGGGAAAAAGCCTGTCAACAGGTAACTAATGTTCATTGCTGTCCCATTAAAGTTTCCTCTCCTAGAAAACAAACGGTATCAGCTTTGGCTCTCTCTCTCTCATTTTGGAAGGCTCTTTTCTCTTTTATCATGAATGCTACTTTTTTGTTGTTGTTCTAACTGGATTTAATTCAGATGTGTGCATCTTTTTCTCCGACTTTCTAGGGTCAGTGTGGAGTCTGAAAATAGATGAGAGATAAAAGAGCTGAAGGCAAAAGAAAGGAGAATTCTAAATGACCTCGGTCCCTGTCTTCTCCCTCATCTTGTGCTTTTTCCGTCCAACCTTACCCCATCCACTGACCCCATGTCAATCTTTATGAAAGATGATTCCAGGCTTGTGAACTAGAGAAGCTCCAATGTTACATGTCAATTAAAGAAAATGGATTGGCCTTTCCTAAACTGGGTAGTCAAGTGTTTTATTAACACTGGGGTAAAGGCTTGTGGATTTACTTTGAGTTTCATCTTCTAGGCTCAGATACATGCCAATCTGAAACTAAATATGGCCCAGGATGAGACTTCTGCTTTCTCTCAGGACCCACTCGACCCAGGTATGAAAGAACAGCCTCTGCTCTTGGAACAGGCCTGTCTAGGTGGTCCTGGAGGGGCCATTTGTGGAACACAATGAGATTTGCTGCTGAGAGCTCCCATTGAAAGAGGGCAATAATGTTTCAGAAACAAATGATAGTCAAGTAACACCCAATTCGAGGTAAACACACTTAGACTGCTATAGATGATGAAAGGCTACAGGTAGCCAATTCCTTGGCTAATTGACGATACTTACGCAAGCATTCTACAGACATTTCTAATGCCTGGTAATCCGTGCTTTGACCATATCTGACATTTGCATATTTGTTTCAGTTGGGTCCCTGCTGTTCATCAGGCAAACATATGTGGTTTTAAACGGGTCCTTGTTTTGACCACTGGTTCTGGTGAACATCATGCAATGTGTTGATCTTTTTCCTTCTGTCAATCTAGTAATCCCCCCACATTCCCAAGTCCTTAGGCTCTTAGTCATCCACTCACACTAGTTACTTGCTCCTCAAAACTGAAACCCTTTTGAGTTCATGGATTGGCTGAACTGCAGCCCGTGGTCAATTCTGTTGTTTCTGCCAGTTCTCATTCATGTTTTCTAGTCTCCTGTGTGTCTGGTTATCTTTGTATTCCAGACTTTGTATTTGAAAATTGTGGGTAGAACTAATTTGAGGCCTAAGATGACATTGTCTGTCTTCAGAGAGGATCTTCCTTTGCTTCTGTCAAACACTTAGGGTTACCAGCAGTCTAGGGCGATTTCAGAAATCAAGGTTTCTCGACCACCCAGCTGACCCAAAGGCGATCAGCGTGAGGGCTGGTTTACTTCTGGTTTAATTCTTGAGGCAGCCCCTCAGAGTTCCAGCCTGAAGTACAGAAGGGTTTACTTTGGTAGATACTGGACTCCCAAAAGCACTGCTCAGCTTCTTCCTGCCTGGTCCAGAAGGAGAACTCTCAGGGCAAAAGCTGCCCCAAAGGCCCACACACTCCTCTAGGTTTCCGGCTTCCCCTAAATCTTGCCCTGATGACTTTTCATTATATTGTTAGCTCTCTGACCGCTTCAAGATGATATTTTTCATTTGTTTCATCCAGCTTTTATAATTATCTTCAGAGGAAGGGTTGATCCAAGTTTCCTACCATCTACCATTTGAAAAACCGGGATAGTAATAGTACTTACCTCACACTGCTGTTGCCCGAGTTAAGTGAGCTCACAGGAGTAAGTGCTGAAAACTGTGCCTGACGTGGGATGTCCGTGTGAGCTGGTATTATTCTGTTCAAAATTATTTTCTCTCAGAACTCCGAGGGCTTTGTATCATTCCTAATCTTCGCTTATGCTTATTAAGAAGTCGAATGCCAATCTTATGCTTGTTCCATTAGGTAATCTTCCCCTATTTCTCTCTTGGGAAGCCTTCAGGCTGTTTCCTTATTCTTACTATTCTGAAGTGTCGTGAGACTAACCTAAGTCTGAGTCACCATCCTGCCTGGTACTTTGTAGGCCCTTTGATGTGAAGATTCACATCTCTCTTCAGTTCTCTGAATGGCCTTGAATTATTTCTTCAGTTATTTTTCTCCTCCATTGGCCCTGTTCTCTTTCTGAAATGCTAATTAGATGGGTGGTGGCCCCTTAAAAATTTCCCCTATGAATCATAACTTAGGGAGCTACTGTATTTCTCTAGTTCTTGCCCTGGGGCAGAGCTCCCTGGAGGACCCAGGCCAACAGTAGGATCCAGTCAGTGCTTGTGAAAGAGCAAATGCAGAGGCACTCCAGATAGGCTTTCTTTATCCACTGTAGCAACTGCTTCCTGAATTAACTTCATCCTAGCTAGTAGCACATATACGCATCACCTTGTATACATCTTTTATACAGATGAAAAGAATCCTTTTAAGCTGCTAACCAAGTTCCTTTTTCCTCCCAGTGGGCCCTGAAAACCGTGGAGGCATTTTAACAAGAGATGTTGAAAAAACAGATGAGACTCAGCTGGATCAGCAGATGCACCAAGAAGAATGTCCTCGGGTCCATCCAAGGGACACAACTAAGTTGTCCGGGAGACAGCTGCTGCTGCGGCGAGGGCTCCTGCTTCTGGGGGTCGTCTCAGTCCTGCTGGTGGGGATCTTAGTGAGAGTTTATGTCAGAATTCAGTGATGTGGCGAGAGAGAGGCAGGTCAAGAGAGACTTTTGAACTTACAAATAAATAATTCAGAGGCCCAACGGTGGCAGCTCATTTCAGTTAACGTGATTCACCTGTGCCCATGGATTCCAAGACTTGAGAGTTCGGATATATTTTCTAATGAAGAAGAGGAACTAAGGTAAAAACTATGTTCTAGTCCGAGACAAATGTCTGAAAGATTACATCCACCACTGTCTCAACCAAGGACCACCATGTACTGACTGCATCCATCTATATAGCTTTGATATTTCTTTTGCTTACTGTTTTTTTAGACACGAATCCATGTACCGCGTGCTTAAGGATTCTTACTATCTGAATTATTTAAAATATATTTTACAATATATCTTTCCTTGTGCCTTAGATTATTATTCAATGGGAAATGGCATTTGTTAATATTCATTTGGGGTCCAGATCTCAGGCACCATGGGCACTGGAGATGCGTAGCAAGGTAAAAGGGGAGAAGACAGATTATTAAGAAAGGAGTCAGATGGCCTGAATTAGTGTAAGGACCTGTCTTACTATCTGTTTGGACTGACATGGATGGGCAGAGGCAAGGAGAGATGAAGCGGTAGGCTAAGGCCCCACTGGGAACCAGCACTTCATTTTTCTAGAGTGGTGGGCATCCCAAAGAGAGAAATAAAGGGTTTGAAGAGCTAATCCAGGCAAACTGGAGGAAGAAGTCAGACCCTTTCCTATTTTGATAGAAGGAAGGGGTGATAAAAGTTGGAAGGCCAGCCCCATGGTGTGGCGGTTGGGTGCGTTAGCTCCGCTGCTGGCAGCCTGGGTTCAGATCCCTGGTGCGCACCAACGCACTGCTTGTCGGGCCATGTTGTGGCAGCGTCCCACGTAGAGTGGAGGAAGATGGGCGCGGATGTTGGCTCAGGGCCTGTCTTCCTCAGTGAAGGGAGAAGGACTGGCGTGGATGTTGGCTCAGGGCTGATCTTCCTCACAAAAATAAAATAAAATAAAGTTGGAAGGCAGCAGAAATGAAAAGAAGTTGCTAGGGGAGGGGAGGCTGGGGTCCTGGGCAGGTCCTATTTATCTTCTGTTTGGGTCTGTCTTGGTCTTTGCAAAGGCGTGGGCTTTTGGTGGCTTACATGGTATATATCCAGGAGGTTTTATATGGTTGTGTCTCACAGAGAGGAGGTTTTAATGAATGCTCCTTTCTCCCCGGCCTCAGAAAATAGTTGGGAAACTCTCTGGAGCTGTGAAAATCCAAACGGCCATTGCCAGTTCCTCCCAGGGAGGTCAGAGGATAACGTTTCAGTAGCGGCCTTGAGTTAAGTACTAACGGAGCTTGGATTCAGCCTCTCCGCCGCTAGGCCCAGGCAGTTAACTCGGCAAGCTCAGTACAAGTAGTACGCAGGGTGCTGGGATGGATACAAAGAGCTGGACATGGCCTGTGCCCCGAGAGAACAGATAATGGACCAAATCAGAAAAGATAGCTGCTGTGAGTAAAAAACACCCAGGGGCAGCACTTGGCAGGGGCACCCTCAGTGCTTCATTCTTCTTGGGTCCATGTAAATGCAAGGTCGTTTTCCAGGGACCAAGATAAAGGCTTGCACTTACGTGGCCCTCATCACGGTTGGGCGCCAGCAAAGCTCCTTCTCCCAGCTCTCCGTTAGGAAGCCAGAACACTCCCTCTGCATTCCCTCCCCATAGGACACCGAGCCTTCTAGAGGTTTCTCACACTGCCTGCCCTTTCCACCGCCAGGTAGGCTCATCCAGCACCTGCAAATTGCTGCTGGCAAGGAGCTCGTTCCCCGGGGAGTAAATTCTTTATCACAGCCATAAAGCGAGGCAGAGGAAGTGTCACCTGAAACGCCAGCAATGTGCGCTGGGGGGCCGCCCTCTCTCCCCACCCTCAGCACATTTTACTTCTCCGACCTATGGTCTCTGTCATCACAGAGCGCCCCTCACCGGCTCCCCCTCCACAGGGACCCCCTCTCCCCCGATGTCGCCCTTGCCCCT